CATACACATATACATACACATACACAAGCACATTTTTGCGATGTAATACAACGCGGAGTATCCCTTGCTTCTGGTACTTTAGGGCGATAGCAAAAAACACTGAAGGATTTGCGCATCAGCAGTAGGAGCCGTCTCTCGTACGCTAGATGCAATGCTGTCACGCCACCGTCCAATAGCTCCGCGCAGATGTCCCAGCGAACATCAATGTGAGCCACTCTTGTGGCCTGCCTCTCAGAGGCATTCCAGTACAGCGTCTCAAGTTTCCCAGATCTGCCATTGGGCCGGCTCGTAATCACTACTTGAAGGATCATGGAACTTAGTAACTAGGGTTAGAATGAAGGTGTCTATACTTCTAATTACTTATACCCCCAATCAAGGTACTTATAACCCTACCTTAAGAACCCGAAACCCAATTTTTTGTAGGTTCTTATTATAAACCCTAATATGGGATTTATAGGGACCCTACAAAAAAAGTAGGTTTTGGGTTCTTAGGGTACTTATTATAAACCCTAATATGGGATTTATAAGGACCCTACAAAAAAAGTAGGTTTTGGGTTCTTAAGGTACTTACTAAGTCCCATGATCCTCCAAGTACCTCAACCCTAAAACCCTAAACCCCTAAACCCTAAACCCCTAAACCCTAAACCCTAAACCCTAAGGTACTTACTAAGTCCCATGATCCTCCAAGTACCTCAACATCCGGACGCTGACAGGCCATTCTGCGCTTCGTCTGCTCTCCGGCGGCCCAGCCCGAGTAGGAAATGCAAATAAACCGAAGATAGCTTAGGGTTTAGGGTTTAGGGTTTAGGGTTTCAGGATTTAGGTTTTAGGGTTTAGGGATCCATGTGCATCGGTACGTCGCGCAGCACACGTTCCATAAAACGGTGCGTGTCTGGCCATGAGAGATCAAGGACGTTATGGAAGTCAAGGCTGAGGAAGATGATCGTGCGCTCAGGCGCGTCGTCCAAGATTTCAATCGCGCGCCCTGCACAGCTGTACGTCGGGCTTGTGGTTTCGAGTAGGATGTTCACATCTGGAAGCTCCGCCAAAGGGTCTCAAATTGAGGATCCCTGTTGAAGCGTTCCGTTAGAGAGATCCTTTAAAGGGTTCTGTAAGGGATGTATTATAAGAGGGTTCTAGCATCTAGGGGCCTTCATGAGGCTTTGGGATCCTTCGTGATATAGTAAAACGTATGGAACCCTGGGGAATAACAGAGGCTCTTTAGGGTTTAGGGTTTAGGGAGGGGCCTTAATAATTAGAACAGGGTTTGGTGGGTTCCTTATCATAAATATAGTATAACGGGCCCCAAAACCCTACTTTGGGCTTCTATATGACTCGCATCCAATCCCTCAAAGCCCTGCATGCGTGACCCCAAACCCCAACCAAAAAGCCTCAACCGCCCGTAACCCTAAACCCTATAAGATCCTGCCAAAAACCCTGCAAGAGGGCCCATGTCTACTAAACCCTAAACCCTAAACCCTAAACCCTAAACCCTATTATGGGCGCAGGTCCCCCCGACCAAAATACAGATTGTCTTTTGGCACCTACAGTAACTCCACTATGGTAGTTTGTATGGACCATGTGGGCTTTGTAAAGCCCGAATGAGCTTTGAGTGCCCTAGCCCAAGAAAGGTTCACCATTTAAGTGATAACAGAATTATATAACCTCCAGAAAGTCAAAAGTTGCCTACTCATCCCCGCCTACGTATGAGATCCTGCCGAAAGCTTTTTTTGTAAAGCCCGAAGAGGATCCTAAACCCTAAACCCTAAACCCTAAACCCTGAGGAAAATCTGCGTGCACCTCGTCGTCCAGAGCAGAAAGGCTCGTCGAAGCATCGTCTGTAGTCCGGGTGCCTTGGCTTAGACTCCGTTTAGGGTTTAGGGTTTCGGGTTTAGGGAAAACCGGTAGCCCTCAGCTGCGGAATGCACCATAAATCAATGTACATAATGTAGACCCCGAATTTCTCAACACCCTTTCTTTAAAGACCTTATTCGGATGTCTGTTGTCATCATCCTTAATTGTAGTTCATGAAAAGAGGTTCATTAATCAGGGGTCTACATACCCCCCAAAACCCTACACCGCACTGCCTAAACTTTGTGTGTATATATATATATATACACGCCTAAACCCTGAACACCCTAAACTCTAACTCCCCTATATATATACACACATACATACATACATACATACATACATACATACATACATACATACATACATACATACATACATGTACATACATAAATACATATATATATATATATATACATACATATTACACGCAATATATACATACATACATACATACATACATACATACATACATACATACATACTTACATACATACATACATACATACATACATACATACATACATACAGAAAGAGTGAGAGAGAGAGACAGAGAGAGAGAGAGAGAAGGAGAGAGAGAGAGAGAGCCGGTCAATTGATGAAGCAATTAAGGGATGAATACTCACAGTTTGTTACGCGCTGGTTCCTATGAGGGGTATCGTGGGCTTCACTATAAGAGCCTTCACAATTTCCCTCAGCATCAAAATAGCCCAAAAGCCTTATGTAATAGGGTCTTTGGGCCCCAAAACCGTAGAATATGAGTCCTTTGAGAGTAAGGTAAGGGTTTGCGTGGGGTTGGGGGTTTTAATTACTGCTATGACTATGTCATCGACCTATAGTGATCTAGTTTTCGTAGGGGGGCGAGTCTCGTAGTAGCCGAATATCGAGTATTTCTACACAGCGGAACTACATCCGAGTCTATTTACCAAAAATCCGTGCTGTCGGAAAGCAACAAAACATGAAGCAAGATATGCAGGCCCAGCAATTGATTGAACAGTTGGCACTCGTCCCAGTCCCTGATCCTGAAGAAGGCGCGACGCTTGATCACGAGAGCTGGCCAACCTGCTCATCTCCAACATTGGGACAGCCCCGTGGATGAGAAGAGGAGGGGTTTAGGGTTTAGGGTTTAGGGGCAAATCCCGGCCTGTCGTCCTCCAGGAGGCTTTGTGCCATCGCCTCTGCGATATGAGGCGCCTGGGAGCCCTGGCATTCTCGCCTGCATCGTGTGCATGCCGGGCGTTCGCCGAACTGACGGCTGCACCAATTGCCCATGGCACGAACCGAGCGTGTATGGACCATCCTAATCCTGGCGTTAAGGACCTCATTCCACAATAGTAGTGTATATAAAACCCTACACCCTACCCTAAACCCTAAACCCTAAACCCTAAACCCTAAACCCTAAACCCTAAGCCCTAAACCCTAATCGTGGCTTTCATGGCTTTCAGGACCTCATTCCACAATAGTAGTGTATACCCTCTGGGTTTCTTCTGGCTCAGGTAAACCTTCATTAAAGGAAACTACAGCTGGGGAGTTTGGGGTATATAGGGCTCCTATAAGGCTTCCATAAGGTATAAAGACCTACCCTAAACCCTAAACCCTAAACCCTAAAACCCTAAACCCTAAACCCTATACCTAGACCCTAAACCCTAAACCCTAAAACCCTAAGCCCTGAAACCCGAAGTCCCTAAACTGTGAGCGGCCCTAAACCCTAAACCCTAAAACCCAAAGTTCTAGGCCCTAAACCTTAAGCCCTCAAACCCCAAGACCTAAGTCCCCAAAACGGCGAGTGGCGCTAAACTTAAAACCTTAAGTCCCAAAGCCGCCCTAAACCCTAAACCCGAAAACCCTAAAACCCTGAGGCCCTGAAGCCCTAAACCCTACAACACTAAAGTCCTACCTTAAGAACCCAAAACCCAAAACCTAACTTTTTGTAGGGTCCCTATAAATACCATATTAGGGTTTATAATAAGAACCTACAAAAAAGTGGGTTTTGGCTTCTTAAGGTAAGTCCCACAACCGCCGAGAGGCAAGACCGCGAGAAGGAAGACTTCTCTAACTCCAGCCCGGATCCCTCCAGGGGAGCCAGCATTGAAGGTAGAGGTTTAGGGTTTAGGAAACAGGGTTTAGGGTTTTGACGCTCCTGGGTTTTGGGGTTTAGGGTTGAAGGTTGAGGTTTGGGCTGTAAGGTGTAGGGTTTAGGGTTTGGGGGTTAGGGTGGAGGCTGAGGGTTTCAGGTGTACGGTTTAAGGTTGAGGTTGAGGGTTTAAGGTGTAAAGCTTCAGGGTTTGAGGTTTAGGGTTCAAGGTTGAGGTTGAGGATTTAAAGTGTAGGGTTTCAGGGTTTAGGGTTTAGGGTTAAAGCTTGAGGTCGAGGAAGTAAGGTTCAGGGCTTAGGGTTTAGGGTTGCAAGGTTGAGGTTGAGGGTTTAAGGTGTAGGGTTTGATCGCTGTGGGTTTAGGGTTCAAGGTTGAGGTTGAGGGTTTAAGGTGTAGAGCTTCAGTGTTTAGGGTCTAGGGTTCAAGGTTGAGGAGGGTTTAGGGTGTAGGGTTTCAGGGTTTAGGGTTTAGGGTTCCATGTTGAGGTTTAGGGTTTAAGGATTCACGTGTCCAAAAACCCAAAACAACATCTAAGCAGCTCAGCCGAGATGTCAGAGACCAAGTTGCAAAGTTGGTCTCTGCGAAATTTCCATCTACTCTTCCAACGACTTGGGTCCCCTGAAATCTGTCATGTCGAGCTGAAGTCTTGTGGCCACGACCTTCAAGGTCCTCGCGATCACCGCTCGCCTTCTTTGCAGGTTTCTGAGCACGACTTCGGAACATCATCGCAGCTCGCTACCAATCCTCGCGCGTAGGCCTTGTTCTCCAAGTTCGTGGACGGATGGATTCGTTGGTGACCATTGAACTGTTCGATGTGGCCTTAAATCCTTCAACATCGTCTGTGCTCCAAGGGAAGCCAACAGTAGACTGCCAGCTGAACGCACACCTGTGAAAGGATTGGTATTGCCTCTGTAGGGTTTAAGGTGTAGGGTTTAGGGTTTATAGGGTTCAAGGTTGAGGCTGAGGGTTTAAGGTGTACGGTCTAAGGTTGTGGTTTAGGATTTAAGGTGTAGGGTTTGCGGTTTAAGGTGTAGGGTCTAGGGTTGAATTTAAGTGGTTCGATGATTAGGATTTAGGATTTAAGATTCAAGGTTAAGGGCTCAAAGTTGAGGGTTTAAGCTGGTCTAAGTTTTTTGACTTTAGGGTTCTCCTAGGGTTTATAGATATTTTTTATCTGGATTTTACGTAAAAACAAGTAGAAGGGTCAACAGGAGTTGAAGGGAGTTCATTATGGTTTGGGTCTATGCTTGATTCTACTGCCAACCCCCCCACTTATTTGAGACACAACATTAATAAATTCTTCCAGGCTTATAGCATCCCCTTCTAGTAACCTTCATAATGAGCACAGGAACCCCAAGGAATAGCCCTACAAACTACTCAGGCATGCCAATGTTGTTCTATGTCTGTTTGTAAACAAAGCATTCTTCAATTGTTTACGGTCTAGGCTTCTAGGATGTTCTGGGATGAGAGGGAACAGAGCCGGATGCAAGTAGGTGTTTAGGGAGCAATGGCATATTTCTGAGCTAAGAGCAATCAGGTAGACCTGGGTGTTTGGCCATAGGGCCTGGGGATCAAAGGTGACCATTTGAGGGTTTAGGGTTGAGGGTTTAAGGGCTTAGGGTTTAGCGTTTAGGAAAGGTTTTAGGGTCGGAAAATGCGGTAGTAAGCATTAAGGGCACACATAGAGCGGCTTCCTGATCTGGTGTACGCACGGCCTCCGTACTCATTCCCAGGCATCGAGCTTAAAGTTGGGGATCGGGGTTTAGGGTTCAAGCTTCATCCTTTTGGGTTCAGGCTTAAGGTTTGACGAGGACCCAAGTTTACCTTGTCATGACCCTTACCCTCAAAGGGCTCATATTTTAAGGCTTTTGGGCCCGAAGACCCTCTCAGATAAGGCTTTCGGGCTATTTTGATGCAAAGGGTGATAACGAGATCTGCGATGCACAGGCTATCAACAGCAAATCACTGGGTCTGCTACCTGAGACTAAGCTCTTTCGTCCCAAAACTACAAGGCCCCTAAACCCTAAACCCTAAACAAGAGCGGATCAAGGGATGCTCCCCTCAGGGTCCCACAGACTCCAAAATCCCTTAAATATTGCATATACCTTGAATTGTAGTAGTATCCCTAATATGATCTTAAGGGTTTAGGGTTTAGGGTCTAAGGTTGTTAAATTATAGTAGGATCCCTATTATGATCCAAGGGTTTAGGGTTCAGGGTTTAGGGTTGTTAAATTATAGTAGGATCCCTATTTTGATCTAAGGGTTTAGGGTTTAGGGTTTAGGGTTATAGTAGATCCCTATGATGATCTGAGGGTTTAGGGTTTAGGGTTTAGGGTTAAATTATAGTAGGATCCCTATTATGATCTAAGGGTTTAGGGTTTAGGGTTTGGGGTTATTAAATTATAGTAGGATCCCTAATATGATTTAAGGGTATATCCCTTAGTTAAGGGATCTTGGAGCCTTTGGGGTCCATGTGCCCAGATCAGATAATATACACTTTGGCCTTGAAATAGTCCCTATATAGGTACTTTCCAAAGTACATGGGTTTAGGGTTTAGGGTTTAGGGTTTAAAACCCTAAACCCTAAACCCTATATAGGTACTTTCCCAAGTATATGGGCTGTTCTCTAAATTAAGGTCCCGTTTAGGCCCCTTTTTATAAGGGTGCCGCAGTAGCTAAACCCTGCGCGAAGTCGCTACCACGAAATGCACGTCCGCCTCGCAGCAATAATCACCACAACCACCAAAAACTAGGGCAGGCATATGAAAGCCATATTATGCCTGTAAACCGGGACTGTTAAACCCCAAACCGTTACGTAACCTTACAGCCCTAAACCCTAAACCCCAAACCCTAAACCCTGAACCTTCAGCCTTAAGCCCCAAGCCCCAAAATCCTAGACTTTGAAAGAAGTAACATAAGGGACTTAGTATAATTAGAATAGGGCTTTGGGAGTATATTATAGTAGAAAATAGTGTTGGTAGTTATTTATCCTAAGGGTCCAAGTACCTAATAATCACATACTCTCCCAAATATTAACCCTGATAACAACTATCCGCAACCAAAGTGCCTTATTGCTAAGTCCTTTGGACCCTTAGAGTTCGGCCCCTACATAAGGAAGACGGGGGGAGTGTAAGCGGATTCCCCAAGCAGAGCCTGCACGCTCAAGCAAGGCGACACGGCCACAGCCTGGAAAGTCTAGGGATGCTTTTGTTTAGGGGTTAGGGTTTAGGGTTTAGGGTTTAGGTTTTAGGGTTTCGGGCTTTAGGGTTTAGGGTTTGGGGTTTAGGGGTTCAGGGTTTAGGGTTTTGGGTTTAGAGCTTTAGGGATTTAGGGCAAGAAAACTTCTACAAAGGGTCTTATGAAAATCTGACAAGGGATCTGATAGAACTTGGGGTCTAGGGTAACTCTAAGGATCCATGGACCCAAACAGATAAACTTTGGCCTTAAAGTAGTCCGTATATAAGTACTTTGGGGCCAATGTATATACTATTTGGGCACATGGACCCTTAAACCCTAAACCTTATAGAACCCTTTACTAACCCTTATAGGAACCCTTAAAGGTAATAAGGGTACTATAGGGGTTCTATAAGGTTTAGGGTTTAAGGGTCCATGTACCCATATAGTATATACATTGGGCCCAAAATAAGTACTTATATAGGGACTACTTTAAGGCCAAAGTTTATCTGTTTGGGTACATGGACCCTCAGGGTAAGGCAGCCAGACGGAACGGTGCGTGTACACGTGCTCTCCAGCTTCCATGTCGCGGACTTGATCGCTTAGGGTGTAGGGTTTGGGGTTTAGGGGTTTAGGGGTTTAGGGTTTAGGGTGTAGGGTTTAGGGTTGAGGGGCTTGGGGTTTAGGGTTTAGGGGCTTAGGGTTTAGGGTTTAGTGTTTATGGGTTAGGTTTAAGGTTTAGGGTTTAGGGTTTAGGGTGTAGGGTGTAGGGCTTAGGGTTTAGGGTTTAGGGTTTAAGGTATCCTCGAACCGAGCCGTTCTTTCAGCTTTGCTCCTGGCCCGATACCACCGGTGATCTCGGCGAAAACAGACCACCTCTGCCCTGAACGGGGCCTGGGACTTCCACTGCTTGGAGGGTCGAAGGACTTAGTAAGCAGGTAATAAGTAGAGTTATAAGTGCCCTAAATGGGATCTTAATTGGGGTTATGGTACTTATAACTCTGTAAAAGTAACTACTTACTAAGTCCCCCGACCCTCCAAGTGGGCATAAGCCTCCCACATCTGTCTGACACTAAATCCAACTTCGGGCCGTTGCCGGGGCACGTCCATCTGCCTTGCGGCACAACTCCCCGAACCCTCTAGGTAACATACTTACAGAAAACGACAGGTCGGGAGTTTAGGGTATATAGGGCTTCTATAAGGCTTCTATAAGGGTTTAGGGTTTAGCGTTTAGGGTTTGGGGTTTAGGGTAGACCTTCTATAAGGCTCCTGTAACGGTAACTACCCACCTGAAAATGTCCAAGACATAGGGCCTTAATAATGAGAATATCGTTTTGGGGCGCATTATACTGCATGACTAGTCAGGAACCCCCAATACGGTTGATGATATAAATCCTGCATTACACATAATAAGGAATATACCAGAATTCCTATAGTGTAGGGCCCTTCAGGTAATGCAGGATTTACATATCATCAACATGAGATTACTTAGAGGGTCGGGGGACTTGGTAAGTAGGTAATAAGTAGAATTATAAGTGCCCTAAGTGGGATCCTAATTGGGGTTATGGTACTCATAACCCTAAACCCTAAACCCTAAACCGTTAAAAGTTAACTACTACCAAGTCCCCCGACCCTCCAAGTACTCCTAAACCCTAAACCCTAAACCCTAAACCCTAAGCAGCTCTTGGCCTCCTCAGCATAGCGCTCGGGTTGCTGTGGTGGCGTCGCTCTAGCAGGTGGCGCCGCCTCGGAAGCCGAGGCCCTTATCCTCGAAGGACTCATATTTGGGTAGTTGTCAAAATTATGGTCCCTTTTGGGGTACCCTAAATAATCGGTGCCGTATTATAATAAGGACCCGAAAAGGGACCATAATTTTGACAACCACCCTTATGTTTAAGGCTTTTGGGCCCAAAGACCCTGTTATAGAGGGCTTTTGGGGCATCTTTTGATGCTAAGGGAGGGTGTTTGATCAGATCAGGGCCCGTAATACGAAAGTTACACAGTACGCCCCGTAACCCCCAGCTAGGACATGAATCACTCCGCTGTCTGACCTAGTTCCTTGATCCATCCATCAAAGGTGAATAGTAGCGGTACTGAAAGATGCTTGCTGGATGTGTTACAGGGCTTTGTGGGCTTCTTGCTACAGATTTGCCGGATGTGTTACAGGGCTTTGTGGGCTTCTTGCTACAGATTGGAGGACTGCGTCAGGTGCCGAAAAGAATTTCAGAGCTCCCCCCCTAACCCCTAAACCCTAAACCGGGGTCTAGGGTTCAGGGTCGAGAGTTTAGGGGTTTAGGGGTTTGGGGGAGGGTTTGCGAGGGTAGGCTAACTGCCTAGTAAGGACCGTCGGGCCATTCAGGGCCACGTTATAGGCGTGAAGGAAGGCAGAGCTCTGGTTCAGGGCCATGTTGATGTTCCCTCGCGTAACACCCTAAACCTTAAACCCTAAACCCTAAACCCCAAACCCTAAACTGGTGTCCTTCTGGCTGCAAGGCTTTCTTCAAGGTGAAAAGCGGCTCCTCGTGTGAGGACCTTTTCGGTTTGATGTCCAAGTCTTGCATTGCCACCTAAACCCTAAACCCTAAACCCTAAACCCTAAACCCTAAACCCTAAACCCTGAAACTGGGACCTTGGTCTTCCGGTCCCTCAGAGCGGCCCTGATGGCCTCGGCGACCTCCGTCGACATTTTCCCAATGAAGACGTTCCGGTACTCGTGTTTCCGAAGCAATCCTTCAGCTCCTCAGGAACTCCAACTCTCCCTTCCTCGATTCCGGGGGTGCCCCTCATTGTAGACAATCGTCCCCTAAAACTCGACCAGAGAATCGACCTGGAGGCAACTTTAGGCCCCGGCTTCTACCGTGGACGGACCTGTCCCCAGTCCTTGCTCCGAGCCCAATCGACCAAGCCTTTTAGCTTTCGCTCTCGGCAGTTTAGGGTTTAGGGTTTAGGGGCCGACATCCACGGAATCGCTCCCTGGCATCCGAGTTAGCCCGAGAATGGCTACTATTATACTTAGTCATGGTACAACATTTTCCAACCCGTCCTTACACATGGTCATTCGACACGCGACAGGGGCTTTGACCACTACCCTTAGCATCAAAATAGCCCAAAGCCTTATATAGTAGGGTCTTTGGGCCCCAAAGCCTTACAATATGGGAGTTTCAGAAAATTAGGGTACCTTATTTTGGGGTCCTTATAATAGGGATCCTATTATTTAGGGTACTATATTAGGGTCCCCTATTTTCGGAAACTCCCATATGAGTCCTTTGAG